TCTCTACACCTTTGTCCTTTGGAGAAAAGATAAGTTACATTGAAAACTTCGTTTGAATTTGAGAGGTTTATGTTTTTGTCGATGTTGAGTTTTAGGGCTTTGGGGCTTTCTCCTCTTCCAGAGTTGAGGTAGAGATTTTCTTAACGGTGTGCATGCTGTTTAGCCTCGTTATTTGTTATTTTTGTTCGTTATGGGTTTTCGAAAAAGTAGTTTTGGATATATATTTGTTGATGTACAAATTTGGGGAAAAAAAGACTTTTTTCGGTTATGGTTTGGGATTAGTAACCTAGTGGTTGTTGTGTAATGAGTTTTTGAAGAAAATAAGGTTTCAAACGGTTTCTCAAAAGTTAATCAAAAACTAAGGTGTTGGGTGTTCTTTTTATGGAAAAAGAAGAAATTAGAATGGCTGTAGGATTTTAATTGAAATGAGGTTTGGTTGAGAAATGCTTGAATTATTGGAAAAATGCCGAGTATTATTTACCTATTTGAATTGTGGTTTCGTTGGAAATTATATGAACAATTTTGGGAAAATTATATATTTTCGGTTGAGATTCACAAAACTCGTGAGGAGTGTAAATGTTGGTTGGAAATCATAAGATTTTGTATAAATCATTGAGATTTGGATTTGGTTATGACTTTGGAATATTATTATTGTTGTCTTTAATTAGAGATAATTATTTTTGGCAACTGGTGAAGGGTTGTATTGATTGTTGTAGAAACTACATGTGGATTAGAGAATGGAAATGCTTACAAATCATACATCACATTTTGCATATCATGAATTTATAACTGGGGATTTCAATGTTTCAAAAAACGTATTGTTGTTTTGAGATGCATGTATTGTATTATTGAAAAGGTAAATAAAATAGTGAAGCTGTAAGGGAGTGTTAAAGCAAAATTAAGTTGGCCTGTGTGTCCAAAGTGTAAAACTTAAAACACGCACGGTAGGTGCCGAGCTTTCCGGTTAGTACCGGTAAAAATGGCATAGTGACTTGTATAGTTACTATTATGAACACTTGCCCTAGAGGTTTATTCATTGTATTTACCATTTGGTTGTTTTCAAAGAATATTGTTGACTTGGAAAGATGTTTTGGAAATCTCGCATTACATTGTTTCAAAGAGAGAACACACATGTTTTGTCATATCATTTCACGTGTATTCATCTTATGACATTGTTAAGCTTCATACATGTCATCAAGTTTATTTCTACTGGGCTTTATGCTTGTCACGCCCTCAAAATTAACCCATTATATAACATTGACATGCATTATTTAAAGAAGACAATTTATGAATTCATTCATCAGAGTAATACTAAATAAAGCATTACATGTAATATCGAATAAAACGCCCTACAGGCTTACATCTTTCCAAGCCAACACTTGGATACAAAAATATGAGTTCTAACTCAATACAAGGAAAGCCCTAGGCTTGAATGTTTACATGTAATAATAATTAAAGACAATTAACTAAAGGTAGTCTTCTCCAATCCAGAAGCCAAACCCTCCCAAACTAAGTCCTTGGAGGTAGTTTATCACCTGAACCTGAAAATGATGTTCCCATAAAGGGTGAGCCACAGCCCAGTAGAAATATACTAAACCACATATAAGCAATGAATAAAGCAATAGCATTCAACAGATGGTTAACCAAAATAATCAATTACTACATTTTATAGACTCATGACATTATTGCCAAAGATACGTTTTACTTTCCAGTTTTATCAACATGGCTCAGAACCTGGCCAAACTTATAACAGTGAAATCACATATATCATATTCACATCCTTCCAATATAAACAACAAATGAGACTCAAGCTCAAATCAAACACTTCATACTTCCAGATTGATACACATTTTAGTGCTGTATCAATAAAACACTTCTATATAAATAAGCACACATAAAAGTGATGCTAATGGAGTCCATCCCCTATCTCACATAATCATGGATCCGGATTAGAGGTCCATCCCCTATCTTCCCCTAAACCGTGGAGTAAGTCGATCGAGAAAAGCTACCCTGAGACTGCTG